CAGTTCATTCCTCCAAGGGTCCTGATGTTGCCTTTAAAGGTCTAATGATCCATTTTCATTGATAATTAGCATTTTTTAAAAATCAGATATTCAATTATTATTTGTCTAGCTTCTGAATTTGGTATCATTCTATTTAATCCTGATGTCAAAATTTGTAAGAAATCCATTAAGGTTTTTTGGGGGGCCATCTATGACTTTAGTTTCCTAATTCTTCAATTCTGTTCCAAGCAGTAGAAGATGCTACATAGCATAAAGTCATGGTGTGGCTATTATATAGGGATTGCCTTTCTGTAGTAGCATAATCTCCTTCTCCAAGAATTTGGCTTTGGTAGATTTCCATACCTCTAGCTCTAATTTGTTGTTCAATGTTCTTAACCTTTTCTTTCTACCAGGTCCTCCATTGTAATTGTGGACCAGGTTCCATAAGTTGACCACGAGTTTAATATCTATTCACAAATGGTGAATGCATGCCATGTGAGACAATCACTTCCTTGAATCTCCTTAAACCTAGCATTGTCACAGGAGCCAAATAAATTCTTTCAGATTCTCTATTATTTGGTAATTCCTGTAAAGTTACTAGATATATTATGGTTAGTTGTTTGAACCCCTTAGTCTGTTCCTCTCTAAATTTATAATGCATTACTGAAATTGTTTCTCCATTAAATTCCTCTTACTGAGGGACATTCAGTTCCCTCCTCCATCACCCCTGGGCTCTCCATCCTGGATCCCCTACTGTCTTCTTCCTTTTTTCCCATGTCCCAGAGTCCCAGGCCATGCTGCAGACTTGGGAGTTCAGAATAAAGTGGTGATGACTAGCTCTGCTTCCTGACTCAGGCCTAATGGGAGGGGCTGGAGGAGTCATGGGGACCCCTATCCAAATTTTTTTTTTATTCTTTCTCAGCCTTAGTGTAACACACACAGGTGTGGATGTGACTGTCCCTGTTCCACCTTGTCCATCTGAACAGCCCAGATTGGAGTGGTAGACTCCAGCAGTAGCTCAGTCCTTCCGGCCTGCAGTGGGGATATTGTTCCAGGGGTTCTGGAGACCACTGCTGCTGTTTGATAAATTTCTATTTTAAGAGTAAGAGTGTGAGCCTATGTGTTTGTAAGTACACTGTGTATACACCTGGGGTCTTCGGAGAAGAAGGGACTGGACCCTGTGTTGCTGGAGTTATATGGTATGACTGCCATGTCAGGGCTAGGAATAGAATCTGGGTCTGATTCATGTGCAGCAAGTGGTCTCATCACTAGGCTGTCTCTGTATTTATATCTTCTTTGTCTTTCTCGTCAGGATGAAATCTTCCCTCTACACCTTGAGTTGAACTACCATGTTCTTCTGTGTTCCTGCTGTCTCTATGTCTGTACCATATGGCTGACCCTCCTAATCAGGAATCTGCTGTGTTCCCTCCTCATTTCCCACTGGTCTGTGACATGATTCCTGTCCTGTTTAGGCTGAACAGGCAGAAGCTGTTGCTTGCAGGTGACATGAACTCCAGATCTCCTGTCTCCTTTTTTCAGTTAGATGCTCTAGATGAGGGACAAGGGTTGGACCCCAGGAGATCACTCTGGCTTCTTCACTGTTCACCCATCTTTCCTTTACCCTACTCACAATACTGTATTTGACACCTTTCATTGTTATTATTCTCATCAGAAACCACAGAAGAATGGAGTTGGGAAGGATTATCAACAAAAGAGTGATGTTGGGATTGAAGGCCATAGACGAAGGATGGTCCACATATGGAGTTGTAATTGGTGTGGGTGAAGTGAAAATGCAAGTTGAGGCTTTGACCAGACATCAAATCTTAGGAAATCTCACCTTAGCTTCTGGGTCTTCAGCAATACTAAAGTTCCACCTCTGTTACTATGCAACAACTCTTTAGGTGGGTCCTGCATTGAAAGGGAGAGAGGGCATGTCCCCTAATCTCAAGAGACTCATGCAGCTATGTAGGGGAAGCAGGGTAATGATGGGACCTCATCTTTCCTGCCGGCAGGAGAGGAGGCATGAGGATGACCTCTGAGGACGGTGACAGGGAAGAAGAAAGATCAGGTGAGAGGAAAAGCAACAGTGAGTCTAGAATGAGGAAAAGGCCAGGAAACACAAGGATGCTCAGACTGTGACAGCCAGTGAGAACCGCAGTGAGAGAACAATGTATCCACAATTAATGAGATAGGAGAGAGAGAGAAATGAAATAAATGATGGAAAAAATGACCCTAAACTCAAGAACGCATAGTGATTAGATTATCACACACACACACACACACACACACACACACACACACACCTCATCTCTAAGGAGCTTTTCCCAAATTACCTGTAGGCTCCAGCTTTTCTTCCAAGTGTGACATTTTTATCTCCTTAAGCCAGGCCTTGCAGTCCCCCTGTGAGGTTCTGTATAAGAAGCCTGTTAAATCTTCATTTTTCTCCCACATCTCTTTTATCCACATGGATCCAGGGTCAACTTCAGTCCACTTTCCAGTGCTTTGGTGAAGAGATAGTACTTGGTGTTCATTTAGATATAGGTCACAGGATGCATTGGAATTTCCATCTGCTTTATGCCAACAACATTGCTTGACCTGCACAGTGAAGGGCTCTGTGCCCATTGGAAAGGGATCAGCTTCTGGCTTTGATGAATCCTGGCTACCTACCCTCCTCCTTTCCCATCCTCTGACCTTGCTCCACCCTCTGCATTTTAGCCTTGCTGCTGGATCTCTGAGGTGGGAGGGGCTACCAGTGATTCATTTTCTTTCCTCCATGCAAACAATGAATGTCCCTAATCTGTCACGTTTACATTCTTTCCTTCTGGGAGACATCTGATTGTTCTTTTGTTTATTTTGTAGCAGTGGGAATTGAACCTATGGCCACATACATGCTAGGTAAGCACTCTATCACTGAGCGACATCACCCAGAATATTGGGGTAATTTGAAACTCACCTCTGATAGTGTTAGTCTCCTGCTTCATGTCAGTCACTTGTTGTTTGAACCGGTTAATTCCATCTTTCAGAGTGACAGCCTGTTCTTTCCAGGGCGTTGTGGCATTCAGTTTGTCACTCAGAAGACCAGTGGTATTGCAGTTGTTGGCACTGTCACAGGTAATAAAAGTCTTTCCATTCAGTTGGCCTTGGACTTTGTGCCACCACAATCCAGACCCTGTCTGGCCAACAGTGAAGCTGTAGCAAAGAGAAGCAGCATCTGTGAAGGAAACATGCAGTGAGGTTAGGGATGCAGAGCAGGGGCTCAGAGACAGTCTCTGCCTGTGGATCAGGAAAGTCCCTTGGAAGGGAATCTCTAAAAAAAAGAGAATGAAAGTAAGAAAAATGAAATAAAAACCCTGACTGAACTTTCACTGTGCAAACAAACAAAAAAAAGTTTAGTCATTTTTCTCTTGCTTGAAGACACAGGTACAGGTGTGGCCAACCCCTGCTCTCCACCAGGACAAGTCTCTTATGTATTATCACATGAACTTTCTAGGGGTTGGCCTTGTCAGTTATGGCAAGAAATGTTCAGGGTGTCTTCCCTGGATCTGTTCATCCTGTAGAATCTCCAGAAGCTGCTCATGTAGACTGTGTGGAGACAGGATGTTGTGTAAGGCTGGTGGGGCAGAGTGGAGCAGGGTGAGGATGGAACAGAAGTTGCATGGACACCGTTTTTACTGATCTGTACACTCAGATCATAGAGTTGAACGTATTTGCTGGTTATCAAGCTGTTAGTATAATAAAGCCTAGAGTCACCTATTGAGTGACTGTTTTGACTGTTAATGAGGTAGGAACACCTGGGCACTATGGACATTACTATTCCCTGGGCCGGTGTCTCTGGCTGGAAAAGAAATCTAGCTATGCAGGAGCTAGTGATCCAGACAGCAAGCAGCATCCTCCATGGTTCCTGCTGTGCCTCTCTGGCTGTGAAGTGGCTTTCTTACTCATAGATAGTGCTGTGTGGAATAGCATGTGGGCCAGCCTCTGAATACCTGCACTCACTTCCCTCAGTGACAGACTATGGCTTAGAAGTAGAGGTCAAATAAATCAGTTTCTCCCTTAACTTTTATTTGGTAGACTGTTCATCACAGCAACAGTATGAAACTTGAATAAAGCATTGGGAGACCCCTGTACACAATGCAGTGCTCCAGGGATGGTTTCCTAGAGTTGATTGGATGATAGGGCATAGTATAATACAAAGAAAATCTAGGCTGGTTAAATCTTGTGGTAGAAGAGTGGTATCAAAAATTTCAGAGTCGTGCATGTGCCAGAGTAGATGGAACAGCAAATATTTCTGGAGAAGTGTGCAGGGCCCATGCTGCTCTGTGGATGCTGGAGCATCCCTGCTGAGAAGCACAGTGAGAAGGACCAGGGAGAAGGGTGCCAGCATTGCTGGAATCTCAGGGATAATGATGGCTCAAGGCTGGGTTGGGGTTAGGAAACTGGATTTCTAACTTGGAATCTTAGCAATATAGTACAGAAAAAAAAATATAGGATGGAGTGGTCAGGAGCAGTAACATCAAGGACAGTGTTCCATTGATGAGTAAGGGGGATCCACCTTGAAGGCTAACTGTGTAAGGGGGTCATGGCTAACAGAACAGAAAAATCCTAACTATAGGGAGATGGTTACCAAACCCAGATGTGGCTGGATTTTAACAATTAAAGACTAAACAGGTGATCAAGAAGTTGAAAGCAGCTGTGTAGGGCCCTGGTCTGCCCTTATTCCTGGGGTGCATTTGCGGGGACAGTTTATGGTCAGCTAACTAAGTGTCCTGTGTGTTTCTGTGCTCTCCCAGCCTGGCCTGGTGATTAGCTGCAGGGCATTGTCTCCATTGTTAATATGGTAATTTCCCACCTGTCTGGGAGGAGATCCTTGTGCAGCAGTTAGATACTTAAGGACTTCCCCGAGTCTAAATAAAAGGCATTCAGCTGATCTCCTTTCGAATGACCCTGGTCTCTCTGTGTGTTCTTTCAATCTCCAGGCCCTTGCCCGACTCGCATTAGGTACAGTGGCTCGCGAACTGTATCGAGGGTGTAACACAGAATCGGGTGTTACAATTGGAGGCCCCGCTGGGATGATCATCAGCAACTAGACCTATCTGCGAGATCGGAAAGTAGGGATCCCTGAGAGGTCGCCCTCGGGAAGGCTGGCAAGCAGGTAAGAAATTGAGCTGCAAGGGTGAATTGGTTATGGGTGCAAGTAATTCTGTTCCAGTGTTAACGGGCCGGTTAACAGGCCAGTTGTTAGCTCTTTTGGAGAATAGAGGCACCGGTATTAAAGTTGAGACAGCACAAGAGATCATTAAGACGGTTTTAGAGTTTAGTCCCTGGTTCCAACACGCAGGGGGTTTTAACATTACTGATTGGGAGCAGGTAAAGGCTGATCTTCAAAATGCACTGAAAGAGCGAGGGCCACAAGAATTCCTCATGGTGATATTTTCACTATGGCGCTTGGTCAGAGATGCTCTTCTCAGTGATGATGTAAAAGTGAAAGAGCAATTAAGGAGTTTAAACAAAACCCTTGAGGAGATTCAGGAAGTAGAATCTGTGAGTTCTATTAAGAGTTTTGAGGAACAGGAAGTTTTAGGAACAGGAAATATTAGAAAGGATATAGAAGAAGAAGAAGAAATTTTAGAAAAGGAGATTGCACTGATAAAAAAGAAGTTAGAAAAAGAGGAAAGGAAGGAAGCAAAGGGAGATGTCTCCATGAGACCTCCTCCACATAATCCTTGCACTACTGCTTCTGCCCCGATAGACTTAGAGGCAGAAATCCGAGATATCCGGGACAGGTTAAATAATCTAAGTAGAGAGAGGCAGATTTATCCTGTTGTGGAAAATATTGATCAGCAGTGACAGAGGGTCAGGCAGCATAACCCCCTGGCCTTTAAGGATATTAAGCAGTTAAAGGAAGCAGTTGTGGACTATGGAGCTCATGCTCCTTTCACTGTAACTTTATTGGAATCCTTTGCAGAACTCAACCTTATACCCAGTGACTGGATGCAGCTTTGCAGGGCTTGTCTTTCAGGGGGAGATTACTTGTTATAAAGAGGTGAAATGCAGGAAAATTGCAAAAAGACTGCAGGGAAAAATGCCGAAGCAGGTTTCCCCCAGCATAACCTTGACATGTTAACTGATGAAGGACAGTATGCTGGTTTAGCAGCATAGATTGCTTATGATCTTGCGATTTATGCTCAGATAGCTGCAGCAGCCGTTAAAGCTTGGAAAACTTTACCTAACAAAGGATCACGAGAACAGCTTTCTAAGATCCTTCAAAAACCTTCAGAACCTTATTCTGAGTTTATTGACCACCTTCTACAGGTGGGAAGTCGCATTTTTAGAGATATGGATTCAGCTATGCCAGTCATTAAACATTTGGCCTATAAAAATGCAAATAAGTTTTGTCAGGAAGTTGTATGCCCTCATAGAGATGGAGATTTAAATGACTTTATCCGATTATGCAGAGACATTGATGGCACCCACATGATGGACCAGGTAATTGTTTCTGCCCTTAAGGAAGGCCAAGGTGGAGCTAGGCCTAGGAATTGTTTTCAATGCAGAAGGTCAGGACACCTCAAAAGGAACTGCCCTGCTGGTAAAGGAGCAGTTAATCAACCTAGAGGAAATCCAGGTGTTTGCCCAAAATGCCAAAAGGGAGCTCACTGGGCTAATGACTGTCACTCTAAGATGGACAGTCAAGGAAATCTCATCCCCAGGTCAAAAAACGGGGGTGGGGTGGGGTGGGGTGGGGCCTGCCCTGGGCCCCCAAAACACAAGTGTACGGGGCCATGAGCGGAGTAGCGGCTCCCATCAGATTCATTCCTCAGAGAAATGCCTCGCTGTCAATTACCTTGTACGAGGCACCTCAGGAAGTGCAGGACTAGATCTCTGTACCTCCGCCCGGGCAGTATTGACCCCACAGATGGGTGTGCAGGCCTTGGGGACTGGAGTATTTGGACCTATTCCAGAGGGTTCAGAAAGGTATAGTTTTGGGTAGAAGTAGTTCTGCGCTCAAAGGAATCAAAATTTTACCAGGAATCATAGACTGTGATTATACTGGAGAAATTAAAATTATGATTGAAGCTGGTATGGGAGTCCTTGTCATCCCTCAAGGAGCAAGAATAGCTCAATTAGTGCTTTTGCCCATGTTTCGCTCTACTAATCCTTTCTTTAAACAAGAATGAGGGGACAAAGTGTTTGGCTCCACAGGATCCCCTGGAGCTTTATGGGTTTCTAGTTTAGAGAACCGCCCCACCCTTACTTTAACAGTCAATGGGAAAAGGTTCCAAGGCCTTCCTGATACAGGGGCTGATTCTTCAGTGATTCCTAAAAAGCACTGGCCTGAAGCCTGGCCTCTACAACCAGCCTCTATGACCGTGCAGGGAGTAGGAACGGCCAGTTCTCCAGAGTACAGCACTCAATATTTAGATTGGGAGGACGAAGAAGGCCATAAGGGCATTTTTAAACCATTTGTCCTGGAACATCTTCCTTTTAATTTGTGGGGAAGAGATGTTTTGCAAGCTATGGGAGCAGTTCTAACCACTGAACCTGTGCAGCGTATGCTATCTAAGCAGGGCTTTGTCCCTGGTCAGGGTTTGGGCAAAAATCTGCAGGGAGATGTGCCGATTTTAGCAGACAAGAAAATAATACAACAGTCACCTGGACAGCGTGCAGGGTTAGGAAATTTTTCCTAGGGGCCATTGCAGAGCAGCCAGAAAGCATTCCTATAAAATGGAAAACTGAAAAACCTGTTTGGATAGAGCAATAGCCCCTGAGTAAGGAGAAATTACAGGCTGCTCGTACTCTAGTCCAGGAACAGCTAGAAGCAGGCCACATAGTGCCATCCACTTCTCCCTGGAATACCCCTATCTTTGTTATTAAGAAAAAGTCTGGTAAATGGAGGTTGCTGCAAGATCTTAGAGCAGTAAATGATTGCATGGAAATTATGGGGGCAACTCAACCTGGGTTGCCTCAGCCTGTAGGTATTCCTGCAGGATATCATCTTTTAGTTATTGACCTGAAGGATTGTTTTTTCACCATTCCCTTGCATCCAAAATACTCTGATAAATTTGCTTTCAGTATACCGTCTATAAATTTCAAAGAACCATACAGGCGCTACCAATGGGTAACATTGCCCCAGGGTATGGCCGATAGTTCTGTAATTTGCCAAATGTTTGTGGCGCGGGTTATTGCCCCAATAAGGTATAAATATTCTCAACTGTATATAAGACATTATTTGGATGACATCCTATTAGCTGGACAGAACCCAGAAATAGTCCTTGAGGCTTTTGCTGACTTACAAGAATATCTAGCACATGCTGGGTTAATAATTGCTTCTGAAAAGGTACAACTACAGTTTGCATATCAATACTTGGGGCATCAGCTATTGCAGATAGGAGTAAAACCACAGAAAGTTACTCTTTGCCTAGATAAACTACAAACTTTGAATGATTTTCAAAAATTGCTTGGAGACCTAAATTGGGTCCGGCCCAGTCTGGGAATTCTTACTGGAGACTTAAAACCACTTTTTGACATTCTGCAGGGGAATCCAGACCCAACATCCTTTCGTGAGTTAACACCTCAAGCAAGGCAATGTATTACTTTAATTGAAGAAAAGCTTGCCTCTGCTCATATTCATTATATTGACTATAGTCAGCCACTGCTGTTGATAATTTTCCCCTCCAAGCATAGTCCTACTGGAGTTTTTTGGCAGCAAGGACCCATTCTATGGGTACATAAACATGTGTCACCTGTAAAAATTGTTATCTCATATCCATCAGCTGTGCTACGTGTAATTCAGAAAGGGTACAAACTTAGTTTGCAAACTTTTGGTATATTACCTGATAAGGCTATTACACCATATACCCAGGCAGAAATAACTTGGTTGCAAAATTTTGCTGAAGATTAGACCTTATTTTTATGTACTAATGCCTGCAAGTTTGACAATCATTATCCTTCTGATAAGTTAGTCACCTTCTTTAAAAATCATCCGGCAGGTTTCCCTAAAGTTATTTCTTTGCTGCCTCTGGCAGGGGCACAAAATGTGTTTACTGATGGATCTTCCACCGGGAGAGCTGTAGTAGCCGCCCCTCCTGATTTTGACATTCAGTCTGTTAATACTAACTCTGCTCAGGTGGCTGAATTGGTTGCTGTCCAGGTAGCCCTAGAGAAATATGCTGATATTCCATTTAACCTTTTTACGAACAGTCAGTATATAAGCAAAATTCTTGCACCATTGGAAACTGCAGCTTATATTGCCTCTGTATCTCGAGTCTAGATGCAATTATTGGCTATTCAAACTTTGCTTTGGGCCCAATCTGTTCCCATTTATGTAGGGCATTTGCGGGCTCACACTGACCTCCCTGGTCCTTTGAGTGAAGGGAATGCTTTGGCTGATCAGCTTACTAGTCAAATTTATGCAGTGAGTCAGGAATCTTATGAAGCTGCAGATAAAGCTCATAATCGTTTTCATCTCAATGCTGGATCTTTAAGATTTCAGTTTAAGATATCTCGAGAGCAAGCCACTAATATTGTTAAAAAGTGCTCTCTGTGTACAGAACTTTTAACTGTTCCCCATTTGGGAGTTAATTCTCTTGGGCTTGCTCCTAATCATTTATGGCAAATGGATGTCACCCATGTTCCTTCTTTTGGGTGCATGCAATATGTTCATGTAACCGTGGATACATATTGTCGTCTTATTTTTGCCCCAGCTCACACAGGAGAAAGATTACGGAATGTTAGAAGTCATTGTCTCCAGGCTTTTGCCTACATGGGAGTTCCTAAAACTGTAAAAACTGATAATGGACCAGCCTATACTAGCACTGGCTTTGCTAAATTTTGCTCTGAGTTTTCAATTTCTCACAAAACGGCTATACCTTATAATCCTCAAGGACAAGCTATAGTGGAGCGAGCTCATCATACACTCAAAGCCTATTTGCATAAAACAAAAAGGGGAATATCGTTCCACCCCCAGAGATCATTTATCTTTTATTTTATACATTTTAAGTTTTTTGACTATTGATGCTCAATCTCAGTGGTAACTACTGACCGACATTGGCAGCCAGATTCTTCCGGGATGCCTCATGTCAAATGGAAGAATCTATCAGACGGCACCTGGTATGGTCCAGATCCTGTACTGGTATGGGGAAGAGGGGCTGTTTGTGTTTTCCCGCAGGATGCTGACAATCCAATATGGGTACCTGAGCGTCTGCTGCATGCTGTGGATTTTCCTGTCCAGAAGCCTGAAGACAGGACAGAGCCGAGAGATCAAAGAGATTCTGGCTTGTCAACTGAAGAGTTGTGGGATTCCTGAGGAGCTGGCTGTGGTGGTCCGAGTGCCAAAAATTGTTCCTCTACCCATCTACCCATCTACCCATCCCATGATATCGGCAGCCATGGCTGTTGCTGCCACAGCAGCTAGAGCTGCTGGATTTTTCATTAGTCAGTCAGTTGCTTCCTGCTAGCACAAAGGATACCTTCTTAGGACAGGTTGCAAATGCCTTGGCCATTCAAATTGAGCTAAATTTACAAATGAATATTGCAGTTAATTTTGCTCTTGGTTGTGGTTAAAGACCACTGCTAGATGTTACAGTAATAGACTTATTGCTGTTATTCACGGACCCTGAGGTGTACAATTTACTAATTGGCTCTTGAAATTATTCTAGTTAGCTATACCAGGGTTCTTTTTCACCAGCGCTGAGACCTTACTTAAAGGGCTCCAATTTGGGCAGAATTATTAAGGATTGAGCAGGCACAGTCTTCTCAAGGAATGCTTACAGGTGCTGGAGCATCATCTTCATGGATTATGATGCCAGAGCCAAAGGCAAGCTCAGATCAGTGTTGCCACATGGCAAGTCCTCTTAGCTATTGCCCCAGAGAATCTTTCAGCACAAATCTGGCTGAACTCGGTGATGGATGACTAATGAGCCAAAGACGGGAAAGGCTTTTGGGGGGCTGCCCCAACCTAAGACAGGAAATATGTTTTGACCTGGATGCTTTCCCATGACGGGTAAGGGGTATTGCCTGACATCCAAAGCCACCCAAGACAGGCCTAGTCATAATTTATATAAAAGGGGGGACCTGTAGGGCCCTGGTCTGCCCTTATTTCTGGGGTGCATTTGCGGGGACAGTTTATGGTCAGCTAACTAAGTGTCCTGTGTGTTTCTGTGCTCTCCCAGCCTGGCCTGGTGATTAGCTGCAGAGCATTGTCTCCATTGTTAATATGGTAATTTTCCACCTGTCTGGGAGGAGATCCTTGTGCAGCAGTTAGATACTTAAGGACTTCCCCAAGTCTAAATAAAAGGCATTCAGCTGATCTCCTTTCGAATGACCCTGGTCTCTCTGTGTGTTCTTTCAATCTCCAGGCCCTTACCCAACTGTACATAAGGTACAGTGGCGCACAAACTGTACTGAGGGTGTAACACAGAATCGGGTGTTATACTGCTGACCCATGAAAACCCAGACATCTGTGCCCATTGTTTAAACTGAAGCTGGGGATACAGAGGTGGTGCAGGGGTTAAGAGCACTTGTTGCTCTTGTAGAGGATCCAGGGTTGATTCTCAGCAACCTCACACAGTGACTCACCACTGCCTGCGACTCCATTCCCAGAGCCCAAATGTCCTCTTTTGTCCTCCAAAAGCACCAGGTGCATATGTGCTGCACATATATACATGCAGACAAAACATAAACCTATGAAGCAATCAAAACTGGACCTCCTCCAAGACAGACACAGAGTTACTTCCTAGGAGACAGACAGATCAGGTCCCAACAAGAGTGACCACTCTGCCCTGCAGTAAGTGCAGCCATTCTTCCTGCACTGCTTCACTACTGCCCTGTCACCCAGGGATGGACCCAGAGATGCTCCTGTGAATGGATCGTGCGCTGGTTTGAATGAACAGTCATCTATAGAGTAGAATGTTTTTGAATAATTGGTCCCAAGTTGATGGCAGCTGTTTGGACAGGTTCAGTAGGTAAGGCCTGGCTGAAGGAAGTATGTCCCTGGGGGTGTGGCTCTAAACCCCATTCCCATTTCTTCATCTCTGAACTTTGCTTGAGGTTTAAGACATATGCTCTCAGTTGGGCATGGTGTCACATGGTTCTCATTCCATCACTTGAGAGTCAAAGGAAAGAGATCTTTGTAAGTTTGTATCCAATCTGTTTTGTATAGTAAGTTCTAGTACATCAGGAACTAAATAGTGGGACCTTGTCTCAGAAACCTAAACCAAACTAAAGCTATGTGGGCTCCAAGCTTGCTGCTCCAGCCACCGTGCAAGCCAACTGCCATGCTTCTCTGCTGTGAGGTGAAGGACTCTTGTTCCTCTGAAACTCTAAGATCCCAAACCCTTCCTTCTGTGTGTGACCATGGCCTTGGTCTTCATCACAGCAGCAGAAAGTGACAAATACAGCTACTGTATCAGTACTGAAGTTTTCACAGGACAGATGGCTTCTGTTACACCTACTCAGCTCTGCTCTTGAAATTTGAAAGCAGCCAGAGACAATAAACCAACTAAGAACATGGCTGGATCTTCCTCTAGGACTATCTGACCCAGGGCAATTTGTCAGCCTGAGGTATCAATTCTTGGAAATGACCCTGGGTTGAGTTTATGACTAATTGGAGAACCACGTTGCTTGGTGACCAGCCTGACCCATCTTCAGCAGGGAAAATGCTCTATTTCATTGAGGCTCCTGACATAGTAATGGATCCTGAGAGAGTATGGTCTGTGGTCTTGGGATATGATAAGGCCCATCAGGCCTCAGGCAGACATCATGAGGTGATCTCTTTCCCACTAGGCTATAAGGTGGACAGGTCACAGTCAGAGAAGATGTCCAGAAGAGAGACATTGCTGCAGGGACATAACAGGTCACTTGTGTGTTGAGAGCAGGAAGATACAAGGACTCTTGTCTAATAGAATATCTGCTATTACCCCAGATGCTTTTGGAAATGTTACCTCATCTAGAGGAAGAGACTGAGGTTAGTTCTCAAGTAAGCTGCCACCTCTTTCTCAGCAAGCACCTCAGGCTTCAGTAGTGACCTCTATGGCCATGGGATCTAAGGAAACCACTGGACAGTAGTGAGACATCAAAAGTCCCTAAATCCAGGGTCTCTTCGTGTCATTTCTAGCTGACACAGAAGACAAAGGCAGCATAGAACCCACTGCTGTCTGGGGAACAGGCAGCTTTCAAAGTTCTTCTGAATACACTCTGTGGCGATGGGCACCAGTACTGGAACATGGGGTACACCCTAACTGGGGTCAGAAGAACGATGGGAGCCACATTTGCTGTCCTATTCATCAGCCTGTTGCATTCCAAGTCTGTTACACTAAAGGTAGAATAGAGTATTTGATGCAGGACAGATATAGTGAGGCTTGCCAGGTTGAAAATATTTAGTGCCTGCCATTTATAGGAATAAAGGAATATCATTATTGGATGATGTTTTCACAGGAGACTGAGTACATGGGGCCTGGGAGGCAAGAGCAGAGCCTTCCACATGTACCTGTCTAGTACCATTGCCAGAGTGCAGTATAGTCAGCCCTGGTTAGTTGAGGTACTAACCCACAGATTGTCACCTGGTGGAAAAGGGGCTGGAAGGCAAATTATGGATAGGGGGTGGAAAAGGTTAGATGGGCAGGGAAGGGCACCGAGCCAGAAGGTGGTTGATGAGTCTTATGGCATTGAAACTGAGCTTGGTGGTACAAAGTTGTAATCCCAGCACCTGACAGACCTAGGGAGAGAAGGAATTGCTGCAAATTCTATAGTGCAGGCTATGGAGTGAAATCCTGACTTTTAAGGGTAAAAAGTGAGAGAGAGGGTGGTTGTGACTGCTGTGTCCCTGGAAGCATCTATTGTGATATGTGGAAGAATACCATGGAATAGTGGGAAATAAAGTTTGAGGGCAAAGATTTCCAGAAACGTTGGAATTACTTCTGAGGCTGGGAAGAAAGTCTTCAGAGCATAGACTGCCTTAAGTCCATAGAAGCTGAATGAACCTCTTGGCAGGGTGTCACACTAGGGTTTCATGGCTAGATTTAGGCTTCCTGTACCCCCTCCCCAGTATGACTGAGGGCTGAACGCATCAACTGGATTCCCTTTTGGCATCATGTCCCCCGCCCTCCTTATTTTCCTTTCTGACAAGGTAATTTTCCTAGTCCTTTCCTGGACTGTATAAAATTGGCAGGGCTTGGGACAATTAGCCTTGCTGGGTTTCCTTGGGTTCGGGAGCTTCCCAGAGAATGACTGCTGCCCTAGGATTCAATAGCCTGATTCTCCCCTCCTTCACCTTCCCATTCCCTGTACCCCTCCAGTTAGAATATAACAACTCACCACTGATGGGTATCATGGACCACAGACAGATCAGTAGAACCCAGAAGCACAGTGCCTTAGTGGAAGGATATTTCTGGGTAGCTGCATTCCTTGCCATATCTTGAGCAACACGTTTAGTGATCGGATCTGTGGAGAGAGGCAGGGCCGATGTGCAGAGAACTCTGCACAAAGATGCACTGACTTTTCAGTGGGTACTCTGCACTTGTGCATTTATAGCAGACTGCTGTGGTCCCTCCCTCTGGGAGGCGGAGACTATCATCATCTGAGTGGAGCATCCCTGCCCTGGTTGTAGACCCAGGCTCTCACACCTCTTGGTCCCTCCCTGGCACTGTCCCTTGTTGGTAACTGAAGCTGCCTACAGTTGCAAATTATGGCCCTACAGTCAGTGTTTTTGTGGGCAGGAGAATGCAGCTTGTGTAACTTAAGGCCAGTCACGCCCACAGCAGCCTGAGTCACACCAGGAGCTTCTCTCCTGAGTATTGGACACACACCTGCTTTAGCTTCAGCCTCACCAGGAGCCTCCCTCTCAACCACCTCCCCCCACCCATTCTGAGTTCCCTTCTGATCTTCCTTCTGCACTTTCCATCACCTTGCCTCTACCTACATCTCAATCCCAGACTCACTTTCTCCACCAAGTCACTTCCCTTCAATCCTGTCCTCCCCCCACACTTTAATTGTCCTAATGCTTGGCCCAGAGCTCAGCACTCCTCATCTACAAGGTGCCCTTTTCACTCTCCCCTCCCTCCTCCCCATCTCCTTCCTTTACCAACATCCCCCTCCCCACTGGAGGCCCTTAGTAACTATCTTCTCAGCAGGGCTGTTCTTTTTTCTCCCTAACTCTGTGACACTGGAACCTAAGACATTTAGGAAAGTTCTGCAATCACAAATTTATTCCAGTAAAAAGCAGATTCAGTTCTGTAGAGAAGACTCAAATTTTAAGAGCCCTGACTGCTCTTCCAGAGGACCCATGTTGTAATTCCATCCCCTCTTTTGAATTGTTCCCTGAGACTTAGCTGTGGGACTGTTTGGAAGATTCATCCCTTAGGAGTGTGCTCCTCAACTCTGCATATTGTCTGTGATTTTCTGCAGTGGTCTCCATTCTTTGCAAAGAGACATTCTCTTGATGAGAGTGAAGAATACATCTGTTCTGGTGTTTAAGGACAAATGTTTATAGATTGATGTTAGAGATTATGCTGATTTTGTAAATTAGTGGTTGTGGAATCTCCTTCAGTAACCATGACTTCAGCACTTATTAGTTAGCTATGTTTATTTTTAGTTTCCTGTATTGTGCAGGCATGATGTCCCTCCTGCTTAGCAGGTCTTAAGTTCAATGAGAGAGCTGCTGGATACCATCAAGGTATGTGTGCCAGTTCTGCACAGATAAGAGTTACTGTGGCATGCTGCTCACTGATGTGGTCCATAGACGTCAATAGCTGGGTGGGACTATTGGTTGCCGCCCTCCTGTTGAAGCTTGAATAATACTTTTTGGAATTAAGAAAGGTAGTCACTTAGGGAGGTGACATTAAGTCATTTCTGGCTTAGTGGCCTCTGGGCCCTGTCTCTAAAGTGCATGGTGTCTTCAGCAGTAGGGTCTTACCTTTCAGCTTGGGGAAAAGAAGGGCAGGAGCAATAGGCTTGTGCTTTAGTAGCCTCTTGACAGCCCGTTGGACAGCCCTGACCAACAACTTGAAAGAGGGTCTCTCCTGACTGGTATTGGGGTTCTGTTAGGTAGTTCCCTGTAGGGAGCACCATCAACCCCCATGAAAAAAGCTCATAGAACTACATATGTTAGTTATACACAGATTTACATTTGTTATAATTTTAGGTAAATAGTTAATACATGAACCCTTGTCACCTTTCCAGCCATCCTGCTGTTACTTTACCTCCCTCACTTTTCTCCTCCTGTATTTACCTCCCCTCTTCACTAAGTAGAGGATGCTTTCCCATATTCCCTATCAGCTCAATTGTATCAATTCTTATTCCCCTTTACTCACATCCCACTTTCTTCTGC